ATCGTCTACGTCAACAAAGTGGGCACGTTCGGACTCTCGCCGGCTAGCTACTGGTGGACCCGGATAGCCGCATGTGGGCTACGGGCAACCCATCATCTGTTGGGCCCCGGCTATCCCATCGACCTCCTTCTATATGCCGATGACCTCGAGGCCCTGGGGATAGGAACGGAGGGGAGGAAGGGTATCCCGTTGAGCTACCTTTTCCTCTCTGTTCTGGGATATCCTTTCAAGTGGGCGAAGACTCGTGGTGGCTATAGGGTGGAGTGGCTGGGAATGGAGACAGAGTACTCCTCCTACAGGCTAGGGATGTCCAAGAAGCGGGCGTCCTGGCTATCGGCGTGGCTAAACGACAAGGTGACCTTCGGCAAAGTCACGGCCAAGGAGATGCAGCAGGGGCTAGGTCGGCTAGGCTTTGCTGCGATAGCCTTGGATTGGCAGAGGCCCTTCTTAGGGCCGCTCCACGCGTGGAGCGCAGCCATTCAAGGGAAGTCCGGCTACCTCATCATCCCGACGATGCTCCGGGTGCTGATGCGGTGGCTAGCCGACAAGCTTGACCAAGGAGAGAGGCTACAGCGTCCAGTGACTCTCTACGCCGGGCTACCTCCACTGAGCTTTTTCACGGATGCTAAAGCTGAGTCCGATAGGGCCTGGATAGGTGGCTTCCTGGAGATTTCCGGAGGGAAGCCAGGTCCCTGGTTTTCCCTAGAAGTGGATAGGGCCTGGGCTCCGTGGGCCTTTGCCAAAGGCGACCCCAAGAAAGTGATAGCTGCGCTAGAACTGCTAGCGACCCTCGTGGGGATACGTCTCTGGGTCCCCGAGGGCGAGGATAGGAAGACCTCGCGAGTGGCCATCCGCGGCTATACGGATAACAAGTCCAATGAGGCACTTGTGAAGAAGGCTATGACGACCAAGTATCCCTCCATGCTAGTTTTAATGGAGATAGCAGAAGAGCTATCCCAGAAAAACTGTGAGCTACAGCTCCAGTGGATACGGAGAGACATCAACCAGCTAGCGGATGACCTCACAAACGAGGAGTTCAAGGAATTCGATCCCTCTCAGAGGATAGATCTGAAAGGAGAGGAATTCCAGTGGCGTGTTCTGGGCCGGCTACTCGCGCATGCAGATAGCTTCTACCAGGAGCTAGGCACGCGAAAGCGAGGGACCCCGGATAGGGTGTCCAAGTTTAGCCGTAAGGCCAGAAAGCTAGATCCCTGGTAGCCTGAGTGGCGATGCGTGGGGATAGATAGCCGAAGGCTATCAGTTATCTCCAGGCAACCTGGGATAGTTGCCACTCCAGACAAAAGAACGTCCGTGCTAGCTGTGTTGCTTGTCCGTCTGGTCGTCGCTCGGCTAGCTCGCTAGCTATCTACTTTCGCACTACTATCGTCCTGGTGGAGTTCCGGGGATGGTGGTGGGATATAGGAGCTAGTGCACGTACCTCGTGACGAGGAACGAGTTACGACTATGTGTGCTAGCTTACCTATTACTACTCGAAGCTATCGAAGGTAGCTTCGCTAGAAACGAAGTTTCGTTCGCTATCGTCGCTCGCAGGAGAGTTGCCTCTGACATGCGAAGACAGGATAGCAGTGACTTGGAATGGCTACGACGGTGTGTGACCGTGGCCATTCTGGATAAAGTCCCCCATCAGGGGGGGTAATTTTGAAGTACCCACCCTGCCCACCCTGGGGATAGATAGCCGAAGGCTATCAGTTATCTCCAGGCAACCTGGGATAGTTGCCACTCCAGACAAAAGAACGTCCGTGCTAGCTGTGTTGCTTGTCCGTCTGGTCGTCGCTCGGCTAGCTCGCTAGCTATCTACTCTCGCACTACTGTCGTCCTGGTGGAGTTCCGGGGATGGTGGTGGGATATAGGAGCTAGTGCACGAATTCTAGAACCTATACAAATTTATAATAGATTCATATGGACACAACTATATAGGCCTATAGAACAACTCCTCCTCATTCCGTACATCCCTGAAAACTGAAATCGATCCTGGATTCGTCTACATTCTATGTACATCCTCTGACAATGTAGCGGCTAGCGCCAATGACATAAGAGACTGCATGCAATTCTGCAAACCCTCAACTAAACCCCAGGAAATACCCTGAACCTGATATTGAGCCGGAGATACTGGTTCCCCCGACTAGCCAAGTTTCGAACCTTTCCATTCATTGGATAAAGACGTCGATAGCCACATGGGGCTCTTGCTGATAAAGATCATTATCACCTATCGTCCCAGGTCTACAGCCTTATATAATTCTAAACCCAGCGTGCAATCATGTACTGTAATCACTCAACCCCAGTCAAATCTGGATACTCCCTCACGTGCCCAAGCCAAAACCCAGAAACAACATCATTGCCAGGTCGTTTTGGAAGAATGGGCCAAGAAGCGGCCAAGCAGATCGTTAGAGGAGCCAGAATCCCAGTTGTCGAATCGCGCAGTCGTTCAATCCAGAGAAGCCTGATGGTGAGAAGGGAAGTCCATGTGCAAATGCTTGCTAACAGCCTCTTCAATCGGATGCTGCAGTGTTTTGGGCTGTCAGTTACGATCTCTCCATAGACGCTATCATGCATGAAATTTTATAAGACTCTAAGAAGCATAAAAGCCACTTCTAGCCCACAGCAGATCCTGCCATGGATGAATGGCTGGAGGAGCTTTTAGTTTTGCCGAAGCACAAGCTACTTGACCGAATATGTTGATCTGGTTCTTGTGTCCCGGGTTGAATGGACGCCTTCCGAAAAACCCTTTGACCTGACAGGCCTTATGGAGACCTGAACTCGTGGGACGTCCCGAATGGTGCCAAAAGCAACTCGGCTTTGTTCGCTACTTTTACTGGAGACTTCATCCCGTTGCATCATGCATGGGAACCAACGGAAAATTGCACAACAGCTCTAAAGGCTGCCGCATGGCATCTGCTGTGCACTGGAAGCATCACAAGTACTTTGATGCCGAGATCCTCTCCCTGCCCCGGCTACCAGATTTGTGGTATGAAATCATGGCACAGAAGAACATCTTCAAGATTGCACTTCCTCACAATTCTTTGCCCAAGTCGCCGGGCGCAGTCTTTCGGGCTGCAGAGCAGATGCTGGATGTCGCCTCTTGCCTTAGATAATGTTGCTGATGGTGCTGGTCAGTGCATATGATCATCAAGCTTATGTGGGCTAGACCGTGACACCGTGCGCATCTCAGGTTCTCAGTGGCGTCTCAGTGGTGTCTTACAAAGTCGGTTTCACCCATGATCCATGTGAGAGAGTGCAGGGGTACTTGAAGGAGCGATACCACCACATGCACTTGTTACATATATCAGCATTGAGCCTGCTTTGCAAGTGCGTTGAGGCTCATCTCATTAGATTGTACAGGGGCCGACAAGGCTGCATGAACGAAAGCCTTGGAGGTGAGGGTCCAGACCATTTTGATGGCCCTTACTTCGTTTATGTGGCTGTGAAGATCATTTGTTAATTCGGGGATCCACAGGCCCATGTGAGTGGGGAGAGTGCTCACTGTCGCAAAACCGATCGTTTGCCTCCAATGCCACAAACATGTCTTGAACTTGTATTCTGCTGGCCGAGTTTGATTACTTAGGCCACTGGCAAGACCATCTCTGCTTTCGCTCGGGCAAGCTGTTCGTCACAGCGTGGCCAAGATGCAGTACTGGATAGTCTGGCGAAGACATCAGAGAATAGATTGGAGGACAAGAGCCACGAAGTGCAGCTAAGTTGCAAGCAGCAGTAGATTGTGTCATCACGGCCATCTTGTTGGCACGCTGCGTAGTTTATATAGACCCAAACCCTACCCTCATGCAGAAGTGAGGTTCAATCACTATATACGTAAACCCAAAAAATTCAGAAGTGAGGTAAAGCACTATATACGTAAACCCAATTTAAACCCAATTCAGAAGTGAGGTCCAAACACTGTCTACATGCATAGATCCAAACCTTTCAAATTGAGGTTCAAGCACTATGGGCTGGCCCTCGACATCCCCATATCGTACGTGGACGTTGGTGATGCGAAGACTAATATGCCGTGGATCAAGCCGACTGACTTCTTCCAGCATCTAGCTGATTTGGGCAAACTTAACTTGCTGTATGCAGAGCAGGATACGAGCGTCTTGACACAGCTCCCTCGGCCTATTTATGGATGAACAATCCGCAATCCTGGAGTAGTTTCCAACTCACATGCAATGGTATCTCTCTAGCTTCTTATAAGGGTTCTTGTATGTACATAATACAGGTTCTTATATAGTTTTAAGTTTTGAAGGGTCTTAGGGTTCTTAGGGTTTCGTGGATTTCGGGTTCTTGAGGCGTTGGGGTTCTTAGGGTTTTAGGGTTCTTAGGGCTTTAGGGTCTGTAGGTTTACGGTTCTTAGGGTTTTAGAGTTATATAAGTATAGGGTCGTTATTTATGGTTCCTAGGGTTCTTAGGGTTTTCGGGTTCTTAAAGGGTTCTTAGGGCGTTAGGGTTCTTAAAGGGTCTTAGGGTTTTATAGGGTTCTTCTATAGGATCGACTCTTAGGGTCCTTAGGGTCTTAAGGTTTTTAGGGTTCTTGAGGATGCATGTCGATAAGACTGCAACCCTCTAAACCCAGCTTGCGCGATGTGTGCATGTGGCAAAGGCTTTCTCTCGATCGGATCTGCATATACAAATATGAGATTATATGGTGCGATCAGTACCCCAATCTGATAAATATTTGCAATTCCAAGCTTATACATATATATATATATATATATATATTCTGTTCTATATAATTTATATGAGCCCCCTTAGTAAACGCTACCAACCCTTTAATGTGCATATGGGTATAAGTCAGCACGTAGGGCACGTAGGGCTTTTAAGGTTGTTTTTTTTTTCGCTCACATCCAAGGTTCTGGGCAAGGTTTGCCGTTCTGGAACCTGGCAATACAATCAATGATTGTTTCGACTCCGGACTCTACGTGCCAGAGCGAACAATCCCACTGCTACTTCACGGCGACGAGGCTCGGAGCAAAAAACACCTACCGATGATGGTCGCCAACACACATGCAATGATCGGCTATGGATGCAAGGCTTACAAGAACTGGTTCGCCGAGGCCCCTCTCTCGAAAAAGCAAGCTGGTGGTGTGAATCTTGAAGGCGCCGTTCAGAAGACTCGCTTTCTGCACTTCGTCATGCAGAAAAAACACTACGGCGAGAACGGCCAGCACCTGGACAAAATGTTCGACGCCTTGGCTATCGACTTGGCGAAGCTGCAGACGCAGGGCATCAAGGTCAACGGCGAGAGGTGGCACCTTGTCGTGATAGCGGCTGTCGGAGATTGGCAATTCTTTGCCAAAGTGGGACACCTCAATCGATGCTACACTCACGTGTCCAAGCGATCTGGCCAGAAGACACTTAATGGGATTTGCCACCTGTGCATGGCCGGCCACCATAGTTGGCCTACTTGGGAAGACTTCGTGGATTCGCCGACTTGGAGACCGACTTGCGGCACACTGGAGCCGTTGGAGCAGACGCCGTCGCTGATTCGCCGACTTCATGTCAACGTTGCAAACAGGGCGTCCTTCTTCCAACCTGATTTCTGGCACTGCTTGCACCTGGGCGCAGGCAAGAATCTGGTTGCCAGTGCTGTTGCTGAATGGCTCCGTGTGGTGCCCGGCCGCTCGGATCTTCAATGCCTATACACATGTTTTCTTGCATTTGTTTGCAACCCTATAAAGGACCTAGAACCCTAACCCCCTAGCTCAATTGAAGCTGTGAACCCTAAACCCATGTAGCCCTTTCAACTCTGCAGGGGCTTCGCTGGCTCATTAACATTTTTCGTTGTCTTGGGTGCTCATAGGGCTTTCTAAGGTTTGTATAACTGTTATAATTTTGGTGGTTCCCTCTTTGGTCGTACTGGTTTAATAAGTTAATTTAGGTTAGGCTGGTTTTGTGCCGGCCGGGTTCAAAGATAGTAGGGTCGGTCAAAATATCCGAAGGTGCCAACATTGGAGAGCGCTTCTCCTTCATAGATGATGCTGCACAGGCATGGCTCCGCAGTCGCAACGACAAGTTGTATTCCAAATGCATCTCTGCTGTGACAATGGGCATCGACGGCTTGCAGAAAGTGCCAACCGCTGGATGGCAGAAGGCCAGCGACACCACGCTGCTCTTGGAGTTCCTTGAACACTTTTGCAGTATGAACGCAGGCCTTGCAAATGCTGATCCGATCCTGCGCTGGACGTGGGTGGCTGCCTCCAACATCAACCTCTCCGTGCGCATGCTGTATCGGGGCGGTCTCTGGCTGGATCAGAGTACGGCGCACACGGTGGCCCGCTGCGGAATGAATTTCTTGAAATCTTACCAGCACCTTGTGGCCTTGACGTTGGCGGCGGACAGGGACAGGTTCCCTGTAACACCCAAGTTACATATTTTGCACCACTTGTTTTTGCACTTGCAAGAATCTGCTTCAAGATGCTCCTGGACGCTATCCTTTCTTGGCTATTCGGTGCAGCAAGATGAAACTTTTGTTGGCATACAGGGCAGAGCGAGCCGAAGAGTTGGACCCCGGCATGCCGCTCTCCGAGTTCTGCAACGCTATTTGGCGGACGCTGCAGAGCACTTGACGCCGGAGTTCCGCTTGGCCGCCAAAAAATCGAAGGGGTCGAGGGCCGAGAGCAAACCCGAAGCCTCACAGCGCCCTTTTCCATCAAGGCCCATGCAGAACCCACCACTGGTAGGTTCCTGTCCGGGTTTTTAGGGCTGTAAGGTTCGTAAGGTTTCAGGGTTCTTAGGGTTTTAGGGTTCTTAGGGTCTTGTAAGGTTCGCATATATATATATATATATATATATATATATATATATAGGGTCTTATATATATATATATATAGGGTTCCAAGGGACGTCAATGACTCTGCAGCCCGAAACCCTGCCGAACCTCCTCAGCTCCCTGTTTTTGGGGTTGATAACATTAATAACTTTTATATGGCTTTTGTTGGTAGTCAAAGATCCATGAAGTCCTGCGGTCTCCTCGAAACAGTCCCCGAACCCTGCCAGATTCCGAGCCCCCAATCTTAAATCCCTCATGAACCCTGAGCGAGCTTGAATAGGCCGTTCGAAGTTTCGTAGGACGATTATGTAGCCGAAATCCCCAAAGACCCAAACAACCCAAGATTCTCAATCCCAACTTCAGGCCAAATCGCTGTAGCGAGGATCCCAAACCTGCAACATTATAGGACCCAAACAACCCTGTAACACTTGAAACACCCAAGCAACCAGGGATGCTGAAGCCAAGGGCGCTCGAAACCTCAATAAGACTCCCAGATCCCTGTAATTAATTAAACTCTTTATGAACCTGAAGCTTTCAAGTCAACGTCTGATAACCGCAACCCGAAACCTGCGCCGAAGCCTTATCAAAACCCTATACACCCCGATTCGAAGCGTAAACCCTGAACCCCAAACCCTGATCGAAACCTAAACCCGAAACCCTCAACCCGGAACAACTGTATGACCATTATAAGGACTTTTGTTCAGCGGTTGTTTTCGGATGGTTCAAACCCTGAACCCCAAACCCTCTATATATATATATATAAACCCGCAATAACTAGACGACGATTCTGGACTTGTGTTCAGTGGTTGCTTTCGGATGGTCGAAACCCTGAACGCTAACCCCAAACCCTGTAACAAGAGAGACCTGTTTTCAGTGGTTAAGTTTTATATAGGATGGTTGAAACCCTGAACCCTATAACCCGAAACCCTTCTAAAACCTTTTTTACGGTGGTTGAAACCCTGAACCCTAAACCCGAAACCCTCAAGAAGCTTTGTACACGAAACACGTGTTTTCAGTGGTTGTTTTCGGATGGTTGAGTGGTTGTTTTGGGAAGGTTAAAAGGCCCTCGTTCAGTGTGTTCAGACAGACTAAATAAGAAAGCCTCCGCGTTTACTTTTTTCCGACCCCCAAAAAAAGTAAACCGAATCCCACGAATAGAAAAAAGTATCCGGACGTATCTACTGGTAGTGTTGTACAGGCAAGACTTCTGCAAGTCGCTTTGCTGCGGGACTACCTGCGGCTACTGCATGGATGAAGGGTGGCCTAGCCGCACGGCACTCGCAAAACAAGAGGTGTTGCGCGAAGCTGTCATGTGCATGCAGTAAGTTATATAGGGTGAGGGCCTTGGATTTGCCTCCCGCGTGTATGTACTGAGAGAGACCGAAGAGACAGGGAGCACAGTCCATGCCTGCATCTCTGTCTGTCCCTGTAGCGTCTAGCGGCGCTTTCTTCGCATGCCTCAGGGGCGACGCAGGTCGCCGCAGACGGGAGCCACAACAAGCTCTTAAACACGCCTGGACCAGGATCGTTTCCAACAACTTATGTGGTCACCGAAAAGAGTGGCCGCCATTGGCCGCCATTTGGCCGCCAAGGGCCCCCAAACGTGGCCGCCACGTGGCCTCCAAAACCGTCGCTGATTTGCCGTCAGGTACGGATCAGACTTAAAAGCAAACATATAGTGGCCGCCAAGTGGCCGCCAAGTGGCCGCCCGTTGGCCGCCACAGTGCTGGATACGTGCTGGCACATATCCAGGAAAGGCGTGGCCTCCAATTGGCCGCCAGCCGTTTTCGGTCGGCAAACGCTATATTTTTGGTTTCGCATACCTTGCATGTCTTCTGTTGCACTGCTTCTTCCAGCTCAGAGTTTGCAGCCTCGTCGCTTTCTCTCGCCTTGCTGTGAGCATGGCGGAGCCTGCAACGCCGGCCGCGGGGCCTGCGCTGGTCCTGCTGCCGTGCAGCAAGTGCAAGCAGCAGCTGCCCGAGAACTCCCTGAAGCGCAAGTCGGCGTGAGCGCTTATTTTGCCTGCAGATGCTACGGTACAGTGGGAGCGACGACTGGGCGAACGACTTGACTCGCAAGCAGGAAGAGCACCATCGACAGTTCGTAGCTTGCTACTCCGCTGACAAATGCAAGCCCAAGCATCACTATGGCAGCCACTTGCCAGGCCATGGTTTTGTTGAAGATTCTTTTGTGGAGAAACATGCCTTAAACCATCCTAAACCCTGAACCATAAACCCCAAATCTCGCCCTGCAGGTCAGCACCGCCGCGATGGCTATGTGCTGGACACACTTTGCAACGAGTCGAAGCACAAGGCGATTAAGAAGATCGTTGAGATGAGCGCCTCGCGCTTGCAAGATTTTGAGACTTTCGTGCTCGTTCGCCTTGCTCAACTCCATCTACATGAGGCACACCTCTTGCGCCCTGATTATTGGGAGTTCACTTTGAACAAGACACAGACCACCCTGACCTGCGCCTGGCTAACTTTGCGAATAGCCGAGCCGATCGTTCGTGCAGACTGCGCAGGTCTCATCGTTTCTATGGTGAGTGAAAGGGCAAGTGCAGCAGTCGAAGTGCAGGTCTTCCGGAAATCTGCAGAGCTTGCAGTGGGAATCGTGGAGTGGTCAAACACTAACACCGTGCATACGTGGTCGCTCACGGACAGAAGCTGGCACCGTCCCAAAGCCTGGCGGACGCACAACAATTCCTTGCTCACGCTCTGGTGAAAAAGGTAAGCACCGAAACATACACGAACCAATAGCGTCGAGAGACGCTGCCGCAGAACTATGAACCAATGTAGCGTCGCGAGGCGCTTCGAAGTTGAAGCAAAGCAGCAGCAGCAGTGTAACAAACAGAAGATCAAGCAACAAAAGAAGTTTCAAGATGTTGTACTCAAACAAACCCAAAAAACATACCAGAACTTAGGGGTACTTAGGGGAACTTAAGTTAACAGCTAATAGGAGTTACTAACTGCTTATAAGTCTCTAAAAACTATCTTCAGTTAACTTCTGTTAAGTTCTTCTAACTGTCTATAAGTCCCTCTAATATCTAATAACGCCCCATAGCAAAATCGAGTACCTCAGTGATGGCGAACTCCGCTCCAGTACGAGCGCTTCTTCGACTTCGACTTCCACATCGGGGTCTCCGCCGTCCAGGGTCACTCTCGGGTTCCAGAGCAGGTGTCGGATGTCGCCCTGGGTGAGAAGCTCACCCTGGAGAGATGCCGCCAGCTGGCATGATTTTTCATGCGTCGGATAATTCGGGAAAAGGGCTTGCTGCTGGAGGCTAAGAAGGCTTCGTGGCAGAGGCACAGGAGAGCCATCCACTTCGTTTACGTGGGTGGAGAGGTATCTCCAGGGCCTGGGACCGTCATTAAGTACGGCTCCTACGTCTTCTACACCAAGCTCGACTATGAGAGCTTCTTGAGCCACGGCCACGAGCTGTGTCTCACAGACAACGGCGTGTACCCACATTCAACGGCAGCTCTCCAGAAGCTTATTCGTGACAATGAGCTTAAGGAAGAGCGGGAGCGGCGAGCCACCGCCTCTGAAAAAGCCGCCAAGTATGCGTACGAGGCTGGGGACACCGTCCACGGCAAGATCGATGCGCACAAGTCCCAGCAGCAGGAGGAGCTCAACGAGGTTCTCCGCAAGGCAAGGACCAATCCATGGCATCTTTTTGTACCTCGTGACGAGGAGTTACGACTATGTGTGCTAGCCCGATAATCTTCCCACCGAAACCATCGTAGGTGTTTCGGCTAGAAACGAAGTTTCTACTGCGATCTATTGCTCTTGCTATGTGTGTCAGCTTGCAAGACTTGGATAGCATGACTGGGAATGACGAGGAACCTTGTACACATCCGTGGCCATTCTGGATAAAGTCCCCCATTGGCAGGGTAATTTTGAAGTCGGGGGAGTAGAAAGGGAACGTGGCTAGGAGCCACGCGAAATGGCTTCCTCCTCGCGCTCCCCGGCTACTACGATAGCCTCTGCGTGCTCGGAGAGGACCAGGGATAGCGCGCAGACCGTTGTCGGTGCTAGTGAGTAGTCCGGCAGTCTCGGTGCCGAGTGAGACGGCTGGGGACGGGAGACGCGGTGCCGGCTAGTCCAACTATACCATCCTGGGCGATCAGGGTGAGTTGGCGGGAGGTATTGCTACGCGGTCGGGACACCTCGAGCAACTCGAGGAGGCTAAGAACCGAAAACTTGGTTTGGACAATTTAGAAAAGAGGAGTCGGAGGAGGTGGTGGGACAGCTGGCAGACGAGCTGGATATCGGCTACTCCGACTATCTGGCGGAGGCGGTCTCCAAGGGCTGGACCTTGCGAACTACATCCTGGCAAGGGGCGACGAGCCCTGTGGAGGGACAGTTCCGGAAGCTATCCTCAAGGCTATCAGCTGGATGGAGAGGGTTGTCGAGTTTGAGCCAGCTAGCAGAACGACGGCGAGCCGCCTGGTCTGGCCGGTCAAGGATGGCGTCGAGAGACTATCCTGGAAGCCTGGAAGGCCCCCTGGACCAAGAGGGCTCCTCTCCTCCGGATCATAGCCTGGAGGTCCGACCAACGGAGACTAGCCCAGACCTTTACCAGTTTGGCCCAAGCCCATATTTTCCAGCCAATGCCCCTTCAGATATCCAAGACTATCCTCTCCTCGTCGGATAAAGGAGTTGCCGGTCTGCAGGAAGCTTTTCAGTTTAGGCTAGAGTTTTCCTAGCTAGAGGATGGCAGGACGCCCCCCGGATAGGGGGGGTCAGAGTGCGCCCGGCCCGAAGGGTCAGGGCAAGGCTACTTCACGAGCGAGGAGACGGAGCGAGCAGATAGTCAACCAGATACCCTAGCAGGGGTGGATAAGATTCCAACGAGGAGTGCGAGGGATAGGGCGCTGGGACGCCAAGGGAGCTATCTTTCGCTGTATAGTGGCGTGTGATAGGTGTGGGATAAATCAATGCAACAAACGAATGTTTGCGGCTATTGAGAAGCACGGCGAGATGGGGCACACCTGTAGGGTGTGCCGTCCACCGTGACTAGGTCGGCATGTGAGCTTTTTCGGCGAGCCAGAAAGCAGGCAGGGAGAGAGAGGTGCCAGGAGAGCCGGCGGGGGGGGGGGCCGGGGTCGGGGTCTCCTTCCCTCCGTTCTTTTCCTCCTCGCTCTCGTCTGGCCGGCGGACTTTCGCTACCTCCTGACCCAAAACAGGGTCAAGGAGACAGCCCAGGCTACGCTCTTCAAGGCGGGCGTGGATACGGTTGCAAAATTTTCGGCGAGCCGTGAAGAGGATGCGAGGAGTGGATACCGCTCTGGCCAACCGGGCACTTGCAGCTAGCTTCGTGGTGGCATGGCAGGCCGCGCAGGCTAGAATCAAAGGCCATGCTGAGCTAGAGGCTGCGGCGTGACTCCGAGACTGAGCTAAGCCGATAGCCCAGACCGATTACATGGCGATGCGGCAGGCTTTTGCCGCTAAGTTCGGAGAGCCAGAGGATAAGCACGTGCCGGCTAAGGAGTACATCGAAAAGAAACTCCACGAGCTAGAGACCGGCGAGTTCAGGGCAGAGCCCCTCATCGAGGTCCTTGCCCGGGACGAGATAGATCCAGAGGCTCTGGCCCCGCAGTGGGATAGCAAAGGCACGGTTGTGCTTAAGCGGACTAGCTCCAAAGGAGGACTCCCCACAGGCCCGGAACAGCTCCGGCTACGGCTAACGGTGATGGCTAACGCCCTGCTAATGATACAGCTACACCACCCGAGCCGTGTGGAGTTGAGGGATACGACCCAGCAGTTGTTTGAGAAATATAAAGATTATCTTCTCGGCGACTTCTGCTATGGGCTACGATCCAACGAGGCTAGCGGCTCCTTGGACGCTGGTATCCCCTACGAGAAGGCTATCCGGAAGTTCGCTTACCAGCAAATGGCTAGCCTCTCCATGAGCTTCGCGGATGCCCTCGCCCTGGCCTGGAGAGATGCGGCTACAAAGGAGAGGCGCTTTACAACTCCCCTCTCGCTGTGCACCTAAAGGCCGCAGCCTTGGCATGCCGATGCGCCCCAGGCTACGGATACCAAAGGTGGCGGCAAGGGGCGAGGCAAAGGCAAGGATAAGGGCAACAAGAAGCTCAAGACGGGCAAGGAGAGAGATGGCTACAATCGGACACCGGATGGCAAACCTATTTGCGATCGTTTCAATGCTAAAAACGGGTGCAAGAAAGGCCAGAAGTGTCACTTCGTGCATGTTTGCACGAAGTGCCTTGGCGACCACCCGGCTACAAAGTGCCCGCGAGGCAGGCCGCCGGCTACGGAGCAGCCAACTCCGGCGAACTGACCCGGCTCTGGGCTACGCTCCTCCAGGCTACGGGCGCTTTTCCTCTTTTCTGGAAAGGATACCGCTGGAGGTCTGGCTGCACTCCTTCGGCGATTGGCGGCTACCTGCTCCCGCGAAGTGGTCGTCGACCCTGCGGATAGTTCCCGTGGGCTCCGCTACGACCTCACACTGTCAAAGGTCCGGCGACGATATCTCGACTTGGTCGAGACGGGCTACTATGACATGATTTTCATGAAACCGCCCTGTGCTACCTTTTCTCGAGCGACCTGGGCTAATTTCTCGGGCCCACGGCCCGTCCGAAGCTTCGCCAAGAGTCGGGGAGAGGACACTCTCACGGCGAAGGAGAGAGACCGAGCTATTGCTGGCAACATTTTTGCTGATTTTTGTTTGGATATGGCGAAATTAGCTGCGCAGGGTTCAGCTAGTTTCCTGCTGCTAGAGCAGCCAGAAGACCTTGAGGCGATGCCGGCAGGGCCGCACAAAGGCGAGCGCCCGGCTAGCATGTGGCAGTGGCCGCAACACCAGGAGCTCCAACGGCTGGGCCTCATTTCTGCGGCCTTCCACCGGGATAACTTTGTTCCGGGCGAGCTCAAGCCTACCTGGAGAGTCTAATGTAGCAAAAAAAACCTACATTTGACCAAAAAGTATACGTTGTTAGTTTTTCACCAAAAAAACAACAATGTTACTTTTTCAACAAAAAAAACAACAATGTAAGTTTTTTTGGGCTCCAGAAACCAAGAATCCGCTTGAAATTAGTTTTCGCACGATTGTCATGCATTTCTGAGCCAAAACATGATCATGTCCATGGTGAAAATCGAAATCTTCTTCTAGTTGAAGAAGATTTCGACAAGAACATGCATGGAAAATTCTACCATTGGTAATACTACGGCATACCAATGGTAGAATTCGGAAAGTAGGATCACAGCATGTTCATGAACATGAAGCCACTTCATGCAGCAGTCGCCGTGCCTTGCCGCTTTCGCTTGAGTTTAGGTTGAACATGCACGCATTATCATACGGAGGTACATATCTCTATTAGACGGTCGATGTACACAAAGCACCTGACTTTAATCCAGCGGGTATGGCCGAACAGATCGCTTAAAGTAAACACAACTGTAACTAATTTGGGTCTCTAGTGAACTCCTAAAAAGCCATAGGAATTCCGTAATTTTGTGAATCAGCCCGTAGCCGGTGCATTAAACTATAGGCTATCCTTTGCAAATATTCTGAAGATGACCTAGGATATCCGTAATGTATGCTTTCGAAGCTCAGCAGCAGACGACGGCTGCTGCTCCTCTGTCGGGCCTTGCCGCCGACTGGTGCGCCCGCAGCCCTTGCAGTCATCGTGCATGTTTGTGCAATCAGCAGTACATGTCTCTCTCTCTCTCTCTCTCTCTCTCTCTCTCTCTCTCTCTCTCTCTCTCTCTCTCTCTCTCTCTCTCTCTCTCTCTCTCTCTCTCTCTCTCTCTCTCTCTCTCTCTCTCTCTCTCTCTCTCTCCCCAGCTCTGTCTTGAGTGCTGCTGTGCATGTTGACTTTGTGCCGCTGTCTGTGCTTTCATGCATGCATGTTGCACGTCCACGGTGTATTTGCCATGTATGCATGCATGCACATGATAATGTATGAAAATATTGACATAAGATATAATATTATGGCGGGTGAGCTTCCACGGTCGCCTTCTGACCCTCCCGGTGGTGTGGTTGAGGTGGGCCGCGATAGGGACCCGTCGGAGGAGACATCTGAGCATCAGGAGGGCTCTGAGCATCGTGAGCAGAGGCACTCCTCGTCTCGCAGTCGCCGTCGTTCTTCTTCACGCCATCGTGGCAGTGGTCGGTGCTCTCGGTCTCGCAGTCGTCGCTTTCGCTCGCGATCGCATCGTTCGTCCTCTCGTTCTTCTTCTGGCCATAAGTCGTCTTCTTCTGGCCATAAGTCGCGATCGCATCGTTCGCCTTCGTCCACTCGCCATCGTGTTCGTGGCCACCGTCGTAGCCGTAGCCCCAGTCGAGAGCTGTCTCCGACCGAGCAGCTGTCGACGGAGGAGCTGAGGGCAGGGCTCGCACAGAGGCTGGGGTCGGTGGGCCTTCCGCCGGGCCGCCTTTACGGTGGCCCTCGTCCCAAGCAGATTTTTCGTCCGAGTGCTCCGTTGCCGGTTGGGAGGGTTACCCCGGGACCCAAGGCCAAGCCCAAGCCGAACCCTTTTGCTCATATTAACCTTCCACCCCGCCCTGTGCGACCGTGAAATACATATATACACGTGTGTGTGTGTGTGTGTGTCTCTCTCTATATCTAGAGACATATCAGAGATCTATTCTATCATATTTATATATATATATATATATATATGTATACACTTATATTTATCTATCTGGGTCCATATGTATATACACCTGAGTCTATTCATAGAGACACACACACACATGAAATTTATGTATATTACTTGACTTTTAGATGCATGTGTATGTATATCTATACGTGTGAATATTAGACTAGACATGCATGTACATTTTTTGTGTATATACATATATATATATATATATATATGTATACATATACAAATATCTCTGTGATTTGCATTGGTTAACAGTAGCCATGACATCATTCTCCAGATAGAGAGCTATCTCGAGGATGACAATCCACATGCATGTTTTGACCTTCCCATGGTGCACTTGTAGATATTGTTGCATGCACATGCAACAATATCTTAAGACCTTGTTATGCATTATACCTTTACATCCTTTGTAAAGGTATAAGTCGGCCCGGTTAGTGTACCTCCACATGGACCCAACACCACCTGCAGACTCTGCAGACATGTGCTGATTTGTTTAGTGCTGGGAGATTCCTCTGCAATCAGAGATACTTGTAGCTTTTCAATCGATCTTAACCTAGGAAATATAATATGGGCCATGGGTGTTTCATATAGATTACTTAGCTCGGCCTGCTTTGCTGCTCGGTGGCCCATGGCTTCTGCCTCGAGTGCTGGCTCGGAGATTCCTGGTGAGGAGGCTCTTGATTGCATCTAGAAGGGCTGTTTCAGCATTCGATGGGGCAATTTTTTCTGGCTCGTGTCAGGAGCCAGACAATGCCAATGAAGGGGTGAAGGACAGCCAGGCCGCATGAGTTAGTCCGGGCATTGGCAAGTGGATTGAATGTGTTGCAAGTTTCCCTGCAGTTGGCAAATGCAATGGCTACGGCTCTGAAGCCATTGTTCGCTGGAGCCAAATGAGCCCTAGCTACATAATTGCATTTCTCGATTTGTGGCTTGATGCTTCAGCTTTCCAGTCTAAGTTCTGCACAGATTGGCTGGTGCTGGAGAGAGCATTGTATCCACGTAGTCCAGCGGAAGCAAATGATTGAGGTGCCAACGATGTCTGGGAAGGTGCGGTTAACTTTATAAATCCGGGCGAACAGCTGCCTCTGGATTTCGTGGACCAGCAGCTCACCGCGGCATTGGATTCCTGCTTCGCAGTTTTCAGTGCCTTATCTTATAGGGCATTTGAAAGTATACTCAGCTCCGGCAGTTGGCTCATTGACCTTTCAATCAAGTTTCGACACAAGGCGAAATGGGCATCACGAAGACTCCGGCTCCTCGCATCTTTGACCTCGCGGTTTCTTGGACTGCAGCTTTTGCTTCAATTTTTGGAATGCATCCTGGAGTCTTGCAGCCTGCGACCTGATTCATATCATATGCTTTTGAGGTCATGGTTTGCTGCCACCATTTCACACAGGTGGACCAATGTTTGGTTTCGACGATCCTGAAGCGGGGTTGCAGCCGCCTGCGGGGCCTGAGCAATCGCTCAAGGCGGGAATGATTTTCATGGACTTTTCTTGAAATGAAGACTTCAGTCATCACCCCAAGTGTCCCCGCACATGCAGGTCCAGTCATCGGCCGAAGTTGGATGCATTGAAGTGCAAGTGCTGCGGTCGCATTTAATCTTTGTGCTCTCGCACGTGCCAGCCTGCTTGTATGATTTCACATCGAGGATCCTTCCCTCTCCGCCAAAGGGTCAGAAGGAGTCTGGCCAGGACGAGGATGGCATGGCTCCGTTCTTTGGCTTGAATGATATCTACAAGCTAAGCCATTCCTGGGTCATGTTCAGAGGTCCACGACTGGCATCCCAGTATGTATGTAGACCCTACATGTTGCTTCTGAATTTCTTGGTCCTGAGGACTGAGAAATCTGATGATGGCCCCGAGAAGAAGCGACTGCGCCTGGAGGCCATAATAATTCGTTTCGTGCCTCACTGCTACAGTGCTACAGCCCAATCCCTAGATCGATGCAGGAAGCACGAGCCAAGTACAAGGGCATGTGCCAGGAGATTTTCGGCTCTGTTGCTTGGCCTAATACCCTTTGCTAGTTGCTTGCATGGTTTGCCGATTCGCTTGCAAACTTAGCAGCTGAGGGGCCCGTGGATGTTGAGGACTCCTCCGAGGAGGAGTTTGATCGTGGGACCTTTGCAGATGCTCTTCAGCAACGGAATTTCCTGAGTCCTCTGATTCAGGTTTCTCGTCCAGAGATCATGCTGAACAACATGTCCGGTTGCATCACTATATGTCTCCACGTGCTAGTGCCAAGGATCCTGTGGCCAAGAATAAGCCGAAGGCTCCGGAGAATCCGCCGCGGGAAGTGGAGCCGGTGCGGGCTGGGGCAAAGGCGGCTTCGAAGGCGATGCCGATGCCGAAGAACTTCGCCGGCAGAACGCCGCCGAATACGGCTCCTCGCTCTTGGAGGTTTGCCGCAATGAAGGCATTGTGGCACGAGAGCCTCTGCTGATACATACCCTTGTTCTTTTCGTCTGCACGCATTGGCCCGATGTCTGGGGGTTTGGCTTAAACCGGTACTGTCCCAGGCTCTACAAGCCGATCACGAAGAAGAACAAACTGGTGAAGTCTCAGGACTTCACCAGTTGCCTCTTGTTCTCGGCTTTGCATTTCCTTGGGCAACCTAATGGCCTTTGCAGGAGCAGTGGTACGACTTCGTGACACAGGCTGAGTTGGACATGGAAAACATCAAGACCGAGGAGGAGATGAGCGAGCGAGTGCGGTTGCTGTCCGAGGGCTTCAGGCTTTCGTCCGATGTGGGCGAGTGATGCGCCGCTGCATGGGCACTATGAGAAAAAACCTGCCCTAGCTGTCGATCGGTCTGGATGCATGCTTTGCTGCATGTCACGAGCTCATCCCTTTTCTTGGTTCTTTGTCCTGAGCCGCTGCTCCTGGCAGGTACATCCGAGGCTTCGACAAGTTCGGCTCCGAGTGGCGGCTCCGGTATGCCCCCCCCCCCGCAGTGTGCTGCAAAAGCATTGCGAGTGCGATAAGCTAGTACCGGTGACTACACAGTCAGCTTTGGAATTCCTTTTGTCCATTGGGTCTAATGATGAACAACATTTGGCTTTTATGAAGCCTTCCAGCATTCTTTCTGTGCAATTTAGCAAGTCCTACGGTTTCGGGGATATGGTTCGGTGAGTTCGGTGCTGCAGTCACAGGTCGGGGAAAGTGCAATGTGTATCATATTGTACCAACTCAATAATATTCCGGAAAGAATTGTGGCATATGGTGGGGTGGGTGCCTACACGAATGGGCGGCTTGATGGCTGGAGGGCAAATTCTGAAAATCCTCGATCTCGAGTGCTCTTCAGTCGGCATGTGCATGTAACGATGTTGCACGGCTGCTGCCCCGTTCTCCTGGAATTGTCCCGTGGTGTTTCTCGTGTGCGAAGGGTGTGGCCGAGGGTTGGCTGCTGCTCCGTATGGCTTGCTCGAAACAGCACTTGTCTTCGTGCATACACGCATATTCCGCACACACAAAACAAATGACATTATCTCTTGGTATATAGTTAATAAACAACTAGATGTTCCGAGAGCTGCTACGCATGCTTCAGTGACATCTGCCGGCTGTGTACATGACTGCTGTTCTTGTCTGTGTGAACGAGACTGGACCGCAGCCGCAATGTCTGAGTGCTGAAGTGCTGAAAAGGACTGCTTCTCAGCAGCTGCCAACTAGCAAGAGTTTCCAAGGCTATATGCTGCAGTCGCAGGGTGCTCTTCTAGTGAATGCATGAAGAGCGCCAATCCAAGCTATATAGTTTGCCCGTCAACAGTAGCAAATTCTTTTGGTTCAAAGTACGTCTAAGTAAAGAACACCCAGGGATATGGGTTTAAGCTTCATGCCGGGCACGTAGACAAACCTACTGCTGCAGAACATAAGTACAGACGTATATACAGATATATGCATGTGTATATATACATATATATATATATATATATATATATTCCACATGTGTGTTTTGATATTCGCATCGACCAATGGCCTGCACAAGCTTTGATCCTCGCGGTGTGGAGGAGCGGCTGAATGCTCTTTGGAGCTGTTGCACAGAGGCAGTGGATCAACTCAACGTTCTCCGCTGTGAGTACGAGAGATTGCAAGCCCGTTTGGACCGTTTGGATCGGCTGGAAAGCCAGATGTTGGAAGCCATTTGCGAGGTCCATGACCGCATCGACAAGATCATCCTGTGGCACAGGTTGCACCAAGGTTACCATGGCCCGGAGGACACCGACTTATTCGATGGATTTCTGGACAGCCTGGATTGATTGGTGGCTTTCGTCCCTTCGCTGAATTGGTGAGCTGCTGCTTAAACTTGTTCTGCCGGAAAACCCCAACGGCCCTAATCGGAGGTTCTATGCCTTATTCCCGGCCATGGAGAGCAGTTGCAATCGATCGAGGCTGCAGCTCCTCGCTGGCATGGGTTTGTTGCTGCCATGACATTTGAGGGTTTACACAACACACTGCTGGCATGAAAATTGGCAGGCACATGCTGCAGAAGCACTCCATCTCTGTTCGAACCCGGCGGTTGCTTGGTATGTTCTACGTGTTGGGTGTTGCAACTTTGATTCTTCTGTCTGGATCGATTTGCATTGCTGCCGCATCTCAGGTCCCGCTCGATCTTTATACGCGAGACCATGGAATTGCTTTGGAACTTGTACCTGTGACAAATTAGCCTAGCTGCTTTCTAAATCAAAAAGAGCTCGCATCGTGCCACAGACGGTCGACTTCCTGCTTGTCTGTGCTGTGCGAGCCGTGCTGGTACCAGGCCTGGTCATTCTTGATCTGGTATTCACAAGTCATACATGCACAATGCTTTGTTGCCGCGAGGTTCTTTCATATATCGATATCGATCATCTACGACCTGTCTATCCGGACCCAGGACTGTAGAGTGAGCTTCTTCCGTGCTGCCAGCAGTCCTGTGCAAAAAAGCTTGTCGGTCTCCTGAAAGCATGCGATGTCATCGGGACGGTGCCACGCATGTGCACGCAAGTCTTTGAAGTCAGCGGCCTGTGTATGCATGTTTCGTGGTTCTCTCTTTTTCTTTCTTCTCTGTCAACCATATGTTAACTCCAGAAGGTGCTTTCACGGCATGGGTTTAGGGTGGGGCTAGGGGGGGTGGATGGGGATGGTGGGGGTCGGGTCGGGGTGGTGTCTCGCCCGGAACGTGTGCCCATACGTATTATTAGCCACTCGGACAACTTTGGCGAAAATCCTATGACTCTCCGGCTGTTCGGGGCTGAGTTTCTCGTCGGGCCGAGATATGATTGCTGGGTGGAGTTTTGGGCTGCTTGGCTGTGAAGACCTTCGGGGCTGCTGCCCAGCCCCGCTTCGTGCGCACGCACTGTGCTAAGCTCCCGCCAAATCCCAGTGTTCGGTTCAAGTGTGCATGTGCGGTGACCAACCAAACTAAATTCTGGACCTATGCATGGCTCTGCAACATGTGTGTGTGTGTGGCTGTGTGTGGTGGTGTGTCCCTGTTTTGCAACTTTGCTCTGCCTGCAGTGCTGCAGCGAGGAGAATTATCGTATGGAAGCCGCTGGTTTCTGTCTATTGATACCATGGCATTTAAGGGAGAAGGTCCCATGCATGCGTCAAGCCATAGGCCTGCATGTGCACGCGTGCATGTGTGGATGTTTCATTCTCTTTCTCTCTCTCTCTCTCTCTCTCTCTCTCTCTCTCTCTCTCTCTCTCTCTCTCTCTCTCTCTCTCTCTCTCTCTCTCTCTCTCTCTCTCTCTCTCTCTCTCTCTCTCTCTCTCTCTCTCTCTGTCTGTCTCACAACATTGTCTGATCCGGTTCTTATATGTCCACTGCTGCGAACATATGCTAATATAAATATATCTATATATATATATATTTATTTATTTTTTCATATCTATATATATATATATATAGACTTGGACAGGGATAGGGTGCGATACTGCCGGTACAGGTATAGGTTGTGTACGGGTACGGGTTAAGTGTACGGGTACGGGTGGTGTACGGGTACGGGTTGTGTGCGGGTACGGGTTGTGTACGGGTACGGTTTGTGTACGGGTACGGATTGTGTACGGGTACGGGTGGTGTACGGGTACGGGTTGTGTACGGGTACGGGTTGTGTACGGGTACGGTCGGTGTACGGGTACGGGTTGTGAACGGGTACGGGTTGTGTACGGGTACGGGTTGTGTACGGGTACGGGTTGTGTACGGGTACGGGTTGTGTACGGGTACGGGTTCTGTGCGGGTACGGGTTCTGTGCGGGTACGGGTTGTGTGCGGGTACGGTTTCTGTTGGGGTATTTGTGCTCTCAATTGGCTGCATCGAGCTATTCACTGCTGTTGCTCTATAAATGCTCCGAGCTTGGTTGCATGTGCATGCAGGAATCAGAATATGTCATGCATCGCATGACAATGTGTTTTCGCTGCTTGGGTCGAACTTGATCACACTGACTAAAGAATTAGGTGTGCCTGTCACATTCGCAGGAGCCACGCATGCTCATGGTTGCATCATCAGGTAACAACGAGCTCTGTCAGGATATGCTGTTGGCCGGCATATCACCGAAATCTGCATGTTCGCTCAAGACTTAAACTTTTTTTCAAACCCCGACAACAATCGTGCCAACAACATCACCCGTACACAACCCGTACACAACCCGTACACAACCCGTACTCACCCGTATCACGTAGACATACTTGAACAATCCGTACCCGTACACAACCCGTACTCGCCCGTACTCGCCCACATGTTCACACATACATGATGAAAGTCATTGGCTGCAATAGCCTTCCCGGCTCGATCTTTGCCGTTCTGAACGGCCATTTTGCTGGCCCTGTGGCCATTTGACATGCCCGTGCCTCAATATGACCGGATAATGCAGCAGAACACGGACACATAGGACCTGGGACACGTGCCGTAGTAGCTCTGTGTGCTAGGTCGAAGAGCATTTTGCCCGACGTGGAGAACAAGGCACGGTTGCTGCTGCTCGGTCATGACACACTTAGCGCCGACATGCATGCTCGTCACTTACGACATGAATCATATATTATGCCCTGGATGTGCCTCAATGAATAGGATTCATAGAATATGTACTAGTCATAATATTATGACTATGATAGTATTAGTATGATTACTATATAATTTACATTTAATAAAGACTATATACTAATATTTTAATATTATAATATTAAGATAATGCATATAATGAAACTTGGAATATATAATATATAATATTGCTATTTATTATGTAGTATAATATATATATATATATATATATTAATAGATATTAGTATATATATATATATGAATATATATATATATATATATAATTATATATGATTATATAATAATAATAATAATAATAGTAATAATAATAATATGATAGTGATGAATTATGACTCGAGCACGAGTCATGAATATATATATATGCGGGCCCGTGATACGTCGCACGTCTGCATGTCTCGGCAACACAACGAGCCTACGTGTGCGGTTGGCATGCGACATAGACATATATTATACATATATACATATATATATATATATATATATATATATATACATATATATATATACACATAAAAAAATGAATAGGATAGTATCTTGCACTAGAATATATGCAAGAGAACGAGATGCGAGTGCACGCCATATACATACAGTGATTCTGTAAGAGAAACAAGCATCGAACGTTCGCCGGACTCATATCGGGTTGTGTACGGGTACGCAGGCTGACCTGCAGATGCGGTTCCGTGACGTGAAGCGAGAGCTCGAGGCTGCTGCTGCCAGCCAGCAAGCAGACAGCCGGGTGTGTGCATGCATGTGTCGCATCTGAGAGAGATTGTTCCGTGTGATGTGCATAAGGGCGATGATTTGGGCGCCACGACAACGACCGGTGCTGCCGATGGACCGGAAGGTCTCATGGATGGATGTGTCTGTGTGTCTGGCACCTGACGAGATCTCCTGCCGCTGCCAGGAGCCCCGGATGCCGTGCCTCCGCCCCCGCAGGCGGAGACTCAGAACGACGATGAGGATCGATCGTGGATGTCAGCATGCACATGACGTGGCAGGGTCGGGGTAAGTTGTGCATGCAGTGGAGTGACAACATGTCTATTCGGTGCAGGACGATGAGCCTCTTTCCAGGCTCCTGAATGAGGAGCTCGAGCGACATTATCAGGAACAAGAGCGGCTGGAACAGGAGGCTGAGATGCAGGCGACGAAGAAGCGAAAGAGAGCTGAAGAGATGGCACGGCAGGCTGTCTTGGCTGCCGAAAGAGCCAAGGCTGAGAAGGAAGCGGCCGAGAAGGCCCAGATGCTGCCGAGGCTGAGTTGGCGAAGCGGAAGCAGGCCGAGCAAGAGATTGCCGTGGCCAGGGAGGCCGAGAATGCTGCTCGGGAGGCAGCCAGCCGTGCGACCTTCGACCTCATGGCAGCCCAGAAGGCTCAGGCCCCAGATGAGATGGATACACAGGTCGAGGATCCAGAGATGGAGGAGCTGAGAAAATTGGAGGAGGCGAATGCCCTCCTGGAAGCCGAGGTCACAGCAAAATGTGTCCTGGCCGAGAGACAGGAGAAGGAGAGACGCGATGCCGAGAAGCAACGCCGTCGGCTTGAAATCCAACGGAAGCTTGAGGAAGCAAAGGCTCGCACGGCCCAGCTCAAGCGACAACTCTCCGGTGAAGAGAGTCTGGAAGTACAGGCCACTCCGATCTTGAAGCGATCTCGCCAATTGGAGCAGGAGACCCGGACCCCCTCCTCGACTGCTTCGCCGACGACCACTTCGGGTATGGAGGCAGCTGACAACTCGACTGTCCCACCCTCGCCGTGGTGGAGTCCTTCACGTGGGCGAGCGGGGGACAAGATCCTTTTGCATCTTGGGTACAGCAAAAATTGAAAATAGCGCCTGAGCGACTCAGCTGCATTGAGTGTGAACGCAGGCATCAGTGACGTAGTCGAGTCAACGACCGTGAATTCCAATATGAGGGCCCCACAAGGGCACAGCAGCTCCGGGGTAAAATCCGGACATATCTCATGCACATGTCGCCTACGGCTCAAGCTCGATCTTGACGAACTCCTACCCTTTGGGTGCCACGAGTCAATCAGTCTCACCACTTCGGGTTTTGCCAAGTGCAGTGTGGCGAGTGCCACCAACCCTCCACGGTGCCTTCCAACCTGGCTTGTACTCTGGCTTGCTTTTGGCAGTCTCTGCTTAGGGTCCCAGGTGTTGACGGGGTATCCTTCTGGGTATCTTCGTCGCCTGGGGTCCTGGGAGGCCTCGTGCCGGATAGCTTTCTGGGTGGGCTATCGGGCGAAGCTAACCTGGCCTTGGATCTTGAGGGGTTCAATTGGTGACAACCCCAGAGACCAGAAAAACCAACGGCACAGTATGCGGCAATGGGCGTATAAAAGGCGATGTAAACAGCGCAGTCTTCGGAATCGGCTCATTTTATTGGCTTTGCGAAAACGACGAGCGGCGGCTAGAGGGGTCAATCGGGCCACTCACTGCGGAGTGGCGTGCGGGCGGGGCGAAGGTACACTCGGCGCGATACGCGTTTCAGGGGAGCAGGGGACATGTCCCACTGCTAAGGCCTTGCACGTCTCGGCCTAGGTCCCGTGTTGCCACGAGCGCACGAGGAAACGCAAACCTACTAATGCGGTCTGTGTTCAAAATCATGGCCTGCGACACCTAGGTGCGAATCTCGGGGAATATAAGCCTTTAGCCGCTCAACATGCAGTCGATGCCCTTGAGCCATGTTTTGTCTTTTGCTTTCAGATGCAGATGGTTTTTCTGGGAGGTGGGCCGCTTGGCTTTGTTAATCTGTCACACGGTCACGCAGCTAACCGAAACAGGCGGCTGAACCAAACACCTTATCATCTATCTATCTATCGCCTTTTACAATGGGAATGAGGAAAAGGCCCAAGCGGCCATGGTGGAAGCCGAGCTCGATAATCGCATTCGACTCAGATGACATTGGGATATGACAGATGCAGAAGTCTCTAGCCCAGACATAATATGGCATGGCATTTCATTGTGAGATTCCTCGTGACCCAAGGTGCCAAACCGGATCCAAACCTCCGAAGCATCGGTGCACGTGTTTATCGGCTGGTAACACGTGACTCGATGGAAGATGAATACCGCCGGATGGAAGAGACGAAAGCAAGGCTTGTCCCACTTGCTGCAGATCCTCGCCCTGAAGCCAAGCAGTTGCTGGCCGAACTGTGCTCCAGTTGCAGAGCTTTCGCCATGCACCGTTGTTGTAAACGTGCCCTAGTGTGTTCCACTTGCAATGTACATCCGAGGCAGGGATTCAGTATCCCGGAGAAGGCTGTCACGGATGCCGCAAACACGGCGGCACCGGCCCCGGGAACGGCACCGAATGCCTCAGCGACCCCTGGCCCCTGGCGGCCCTGGCGGTGGCTCGACTCCCTCTACCACGACGGCAGATCCCAAGAAGCCGGCGGCGGCCAAGGGGAAGGCAAAGGCAAAGGCCAACCCCAAGGCCACCTGGGACGTCCGTAAGGCGAAGCTCTCAACGCTTGATTCTTCTCCCTTCCCTTTGGTCGATCGGCCCGAGACGAAACGACTCTTGGAGTCAGCCGTGCTCGGCAAGGCGGGAGTGCTAGCTGTGGATCGAGTTGTTCCGTTTCTTTTGTGTGCTCGACTCGATGAGGCTGGAGCTCACGCAAAGCTGGCCGTGCAACTCCGGGGACACACTGCCTCGGAACGTGCCCTGGATGACCTCGCCAAAGCAAAGGATGCATTGGAAGCAGCATACGAGGACATTGGCCCAATTCAATTTTTTCTGAGCCTCCTGTTGGGCTCTGATGGTTAGCCTTTCACGGAGGACGTGAAAAACGTGCCGCAAGATGCCGACGAGAGCATCTGGAGCGATGCCATGAAGGCCTGGACTTCACTTGGAGATGTTTGTGCCTTGCGACATATGATGCTTAACTTGATTGGTACTGAAAGGCCTGTGCTCGGATGTACATCTTCTATGGCAGCAAGGTGGACGTGTTTCTGTTAGCATACCCTTAGCCAGAATAGGGTTTATTTGTTTAGACCAGAAAGTATTGTTTCGCAACCTGTCCGAAGGACTTTGCCCGCAGCTGTGCCCGAAGTGTGGCGAAAACGGATCAGGAGTGAGCTGCTGATCGTCGATCGGGTCTCTGGGTGTTCTTCACCCTGGGTGTTTTGCACACCTCGGTGTGCTTCTGTTCGGCGGGACCTGCCGGCTTGCTGTCTCGACTGGGGAAAGCGCTTTTGCAAAAGTTCTTCTTGGCATGCAGAGATGTGGCTTACTGCTCGGCTCAATAATTATAGTTTTTTTTGCGTGGTCCTCGCACGCAGGTGCACATCCTGAGCCTGGCGATGATGGTAATGATGAGTGTCTCGGGTTCATGATTTGTGTTGCTGTGGGAAGAGTCTGGTGATCAGCAGCATTGTTCATTTCTGCAACCGAGGCCTGCTCCGTCTTCCGATCAGATACCTCGAGGATTGAAGAGAGCAGCCAAGAAGCTCTTCCAACGTGCGGTCAGGAAGAAGCCTCGACCCACCGTTGATCTTCGCGATGTGCCCGCTTCTTTGACAAATGACTGGCATGGTTATTCCAGGCTGGAGCATATTGCAGAAACTCCTATGGCCAGCACTGTGCTCAATGGGTTAAACAAGAAAGGTGCTGATATCAAGTGGCTTTGTCGGGATGTTTGTGGTGCTGCGGTGAAAGAAGGGTCCAAGTTTTTTCAGACACGTGTCATGTCTACGATACCATCAGAAGATGCATTCCACCGGAAGTTGAGAAAAGAGCTGCCAACGGTGGATATGGTGACATTGCCGGTGCAAGTTCGCAAGAAGCTGGGGCAACAAACCTTCAGTGAACTTCAGTGCCTTGTTTGACATTCATTAAACCGAAAAGGATGATGACTGCTCCGCTTATCATTCGTACAGTCTTCGGGCCGAGGCCTTGGCATCCAACTTCCGTAACCGTGCAATAGTCCTGGTTGTCGTGCCGCTCCAAATCCTGACATAAATCATTTCTTGAGGCCTGGTCAAACCAAGCCGGTGGTTTGAATGGATGCAGAAGCACCCCGAGCTCCTCTGGCATATGGTTTATGGGACGAGCACAGCCCAAGAACGGGAACAGTGCCTGGGCTACAAACAGGGCGACACTATCACGATCGACACGTTGCTCATGCCTGCTGCTGCCATATCCTTCTATATTGCAGGCTGCTGGATCTCATCAACGAAGATTATTCCTTACGCGATGTCGTACGTCCTGAAGGCCATGTGCAGGTGCAGGGACAGGACGGCCCACCTCCCCTACCATTTTTGCCTGCTAGGTCCAATGGACATCTTCGTGCGAGTTCACGGGGATGAAGGTCCATTCTTCAAAAAAAGGAATCTGCTCGTCATGTCGCTGAGCTTCCCTCACAACCATGGTGTGCCTTATTTGCAATGAATTCAGAACATACCATTGACTATTGCTCTGGTTCACTTAAGCTACAAAGACAAGGACACCATGGTGACCCGCCTGGCAATGTGCTGCTTGGCTGCCTTGCCTTGCATGTGTCTAGAAACGTGCTTCCCTTTGTCTAACTTAGGTGCCATTCCGGGGCATCTCCTTGTTTCTCGGGCCAAGTTCCCAAAGGCTACCACCACTGTGGACGCAATCATGAAGCTGCTGGATGGATTGTGCTCCAGCCGAGTATCGTGCATTCTGAATGTAAGGTAGCAATACTTGGGTTGGACATTCAGTGAACTTTCCTTCCTAAGGTCTGTCATGGTTCAAGGAGTCCGTCGCCGGGTGCGGTTCTTCGGAATCAAAGGAGATTTGAAATGGCATAGCCAAGTCTTCAAATTGTGGGCCACTCAGACAGTGATTCTAATTGGCTTGGTCTTAAGAGTTGCTCTATGTGCTAGCACGTGAGACATCTATTGGACCACCTAGTCCTCGCCATTGGAAGGGAAATGGAGCTGCTAAAGGGAACAGGACCCCGGCTTGCATACATTCCCGAGAGCATGCAGCACTAGCACACGTGGCGGTTTGCACACAGGATGTGTCACATCTGCAAGTGGCTCAGCTGCAAAATATGTTTGAAAGCTTTGCAAGTTACGACTGTTGACCTTCCTACATGACATATTTGAGGCTAGCGAGCACGGACGACCCCCGAGATGGCAGGACTCACATGGTTTTGGGGCCGACACACTATTTGAATGTGTACGGCGACTCCGGGTGGCGCTTTTCTGACGAAACCCAGACAGAGCCATATATTGCAATAGACACAGATCGTATAATGCCAGTTCTTTTGAAACCTCTTTAGCAATCTATATAGTTCGATCGAAGCCCAGGAGTTTTGCCAGACGATGAAGAATCTTGCCGTGCCTCCTCCCATCGTGGATTTGCCAGGGTTCTCGAACGCCTTAATCTTCGACGATACGCTTCATGTGGCCTGGCGAGGGTTTGCAGCGGATTTCCTGGCAAGCTCTCTTATCAACATATTTGGAAAAGGGGCGGCTCTTCAGAAGGCTTGCGACATGGCAGGGCAGTGGGCCAAAGCTCGAGGATATTCGCTCTCCATCGATGAATTCAGTCTATCCGAAGAGCGATTTCCTTCCTTGAATGCCAAGGGATATGAAATCAAACTGTTGTGTGTCTGGCTGGCAGCATGATCGAATGAGTAAGCTGTTTGCATTTGACCTATAGCTGAGGCAACATATCGCTTGATTTTGCTCTGATGCCGTGTGCCCTACAACTACAGGCTGAGATAGCTCCGGCCTACGCACGATCCCCGAAAGCTTCCTCCGACACCGACCACGCTGATGTTCTCTCAATGCCACTTGTCTTAAGGCACATATTAATTTGCTAAAACTTTGCACAGAAACTTCCACAAGCTTGCTAAAACCGTATTAGCAACAAAGACGATTCCCCCACCGCCGGTTCTCGCCCAGGACTGCCCGAGCTTTGGCGATCAACATCAAGATACTGGAGAAGCGAAAATATGAGATCACACAGGAGGATGTCGATCGAGGGGTCCGAGCTTGCCATCGGTTCGTCGTGGGCTATATCTGGTTGGCATATTCCTGCTATCTGGATGGACAGAAGCTGTACAAGCTACGTCCTAAGACGCTCGAGTTAACAGCAATCGCACGGGGTTGTTCTGCGACGTTTTCGTTCGGAATGACTTCTTGCAAGCAGTTACTGCCAATGCATGTCTGTTAATTGAGGATTCACACCTGGATCCACATGTGGGAGAAGCTCATGAGATGCAGAATCAATCCTCAGCTGAACGCTTGCTTTGCAGACGAGGACTTCATCAGGCAGATGTGCAACATAGTTCTTCGGCTGCACTATCAAGACACAAATGCTTCCAGTGTCTATGTGCTCTTTAGAACCTTTGTGCAGATACGGCCGAGGCTTCTGGATGTGGTCCGACTACAGCTGGCAAAACTGCCATGCGAAGGTACCTCGCTTACGTAGTCGTTCGCTGGAGACGGAGGAGCTAAAAGCAGGGCGATTTGATGTGCATCTTGCAACTGAATACAGCTCACCGTGTGCACTGTCTGAGCAAGCTCTATCTGCTGCCCCTGAGGTCCGCTCTATGTGGCCGCCTTGTAGTCACACGCATGGAAGCAGGTCCTATATCCCGGAGCTCTATTTAATTCAACCGTTCAACCATCGAAGCTTGTGTCAACCATGGTTTTGCATGGGAAATTCAATCATTGACATGTACATATAAATGTCAATGATTGAATTCGCAAATCATGCATGGTCTCATGTCATTGTTGTTTCCTTTTCTGCCTTTGTTTTCAGTTTTCAACGAAAACAACCAAACAAAGTGTACACCAAAAGCGAAACTCTTTTTTCCCCAATGTTTGGTATGGCTCCGCGACCACAGAAAAAAAGTGACATTGTAGCTTTTTTCAACACAAAAAGTAACATTGTTAACTTGTTGGTCAAATGTAGGTTTTTTTTGCTACGTTAGACTCTCCAGGTATAAGGCTATAAGGATACTCGTGAAGACGCACCGGCAGCTACCTGACTTCATGTGGCGAGGGAGCCCGAGCTTCGACAGCGCGGGCTACTACACAGGCCCCCTTCCGGCGAGAACACCTCCGGCTAGAAGCTCCTCGGCTATGATCACCAAGACGGCGGGCGGGCTCTGGCCGCCCAAATTCTGTGAATGGCTAGCCCAACTGGCCTTGGCTACCTGCTGCACGTCTGCATGGAGAAGGGGGACGCGAACCAGGATAAGCCTGTGGCCGAGTTGGGCTTTATCACCACCAAACCGGAAGGCGACAGGATACATGGGGGAACTGGCAAGCCGAGGCGATATTTTCAGACCGATGGGGCTAAGGACTACCACGACACGACGGTGGCGGGCTATGTTCCCCCCCAGGGATCGGCGGGGCTATGCCGACGACCTTTCCTGGCGATGGCTACGCGAGAAGATCAGGGAGATTGTCCTGGCTAAACTCGGTTCGGAAGATGAGCTGGGAGGAGATCCTCCAGTTGCTCCAGAAATGGATAGAAGGACAGGATAAGAGCGAGCCCGGCCTCTTGGATATTGCGGAGGGCCAGCCACTTCGTCTTCGGCTACTTCGTGTCCTCCTCGAGATTGCGGGGGGATCCGGATAGAGAGTTCCTGTGCCGTGCCGAGACCGGGCTACCTCTTGGGATCCTCGAAGGGCTACCCAGGACCCTCATGTTTTTGAGGAGCAGGCTTCCTGGAGGCTAGAGGACCTTTCTTGTGGGTTCCCAACTACTCTTCGGTTAAGGACCACCGCGCCTTGTTCGGGAGGACGTCAAGGAGGGGCTCATGGAGAAGATGACCCTCGGCGAGTTCAAATCTAGGTTCGGCGAGGACCCACCAAATCACGGCCTTGGCGGTGATAGTCGAGGACGAGGAGAAGGATAAGAAGAGGATAATCCATGATGCCACCCACGGCGTCAAGGTCAACAACCGGATAAAATGCCGGGATAAGCTCCGCGCGCCTGGGGCTAGGGAGAAGAAGCAGCTTCTTAGGGATCGAAGGCTTACCGGTGATACAAGCATCAGGCTCGCGAGCATGGCTACATGGGCTGTCAGATAGACGAAGAGGAGACGGTGCCGGGCGACCCGGATAGCCAGATCGTCTACGTCAACAAGGTGGGCACCTTTGGGGTATCCCCGTTGCGGTATCCGCCCCGCTACCCCATGGAGATGCTCCTCTATGCGGTCGACGCTAGGGATAGGTGCCAAGGGCAGGCAAGGGATCCCGCTGAGCTACCTCTTCCTTTCGGTGCTCGGCAACCCCTTCACATGGGCGAAGTGCACATGGCACGCGTGCACGGGCTCATTTATGAGAGGAACTACCAGCTCAAAGAGGACGATCCTGCCAGGAAGTTGAAAGGGCGAGGTGTACTACTTGGCGATCAGGTCAAAGATCAGAGTATGGAAGCTGCATTGTTCCAGGACTTGGGGAACTCCCCGGCAACGTTTGACGCCTCACGTTGGGCAGATTATTATGGTTGTCTTCCTGGTAACGACGTGCAGATGGCTGACACCATCCAAGCGTACATTCAGGCAAAACTATCTGGCACTTCTCCCAGCATTCGGCAGCTTGTGATAGTAGTCTTGGTTCACCGTGTACCATTGCTTTGACCTGGTATCATTCACGGACGCGTAGGGTACTTCCACGGAGTTGATGAGGACTGCCAGGTTATTGTAGTACGACTCCGCATTGACGATCTCCCTCGTCGCGGTGTTCAAGTCGAAGCGGATCTGTTGTTTCTCTCCTTCCAACTCCGATACTGCAGATCTAGCGTCGTTTCGGACCACTTCCTCATCCACCATGAATCGTGTAATGTACGCAAACTTGCCCTCCTGGTCTATTAGGATTCGCTTGGGTCGGGTGCGGGTTGCACTGTGTCCTGTCAAACACCCACTTCTGCCGAGTACTGTACAGCTGCTTTCGTTTGGCCGTTGTTCCGTGTTTTGGGTGGGATCCTGCTGGAGATGCCTGGATTCGTCGTAGGTTTTGTACATGCGCCGCCCTCTGTTTCACTCTTTCCTCAAACATACCTCCGGACATGTCCGGATTCCGACGACAGTTTACCGTACAAAAAAACCTTAAAACCCTACATCCTAAACCCCAAGGACCCCAAGGCTCAAGGCCCAAACAAGGCACCAACAAGAAGAGTTTTCTTTGTCAGCACGGAAACACGAACGACTAAAGTTTAAAGGAATCATGAACAAACTCTCAAATCTCGACTTCCAGCTTCAAGAAGTAGGAGAGAAACTTGCTGTGCGAGCCTTCCCACGTTGTAGGACCGTTTTGGAATAATATTACTTTGACACGTATTTATCACAACAGCAAACTCAAAGCATAACCGAAACTACGTCGCATCGGCCTGTGTAAGCTTTATGAGAAAGAAGAAGTTTTGCGCACACGTGGCCAGTCAAGCAGTCTCACAACGCGGTGTGTTGCAAAGCATGTTTTTTCACGTTTTTATGATTTCATGTTTTTGCAAGAATGCAAACCGAAGTCTCAAGCTATGTGGCTTGTGCTCCAAGTCAGTGCTGAGTGCTCAGATCAGATCACAGATCACAGGGGCCAGGGGCCAACCGGTCCATGACTTATTCATTATGCCATGACAGCTATCCCTAAATATCAGAATCTCAGAACCCGAGCAACAGTGGTCAGAGTGAGACTCAATCATGTATCCAAGCTCATCGTAGGACTAGGCTATTTGGTTCACAAGAAGTCGCAGCTTCCTTCGAGGCTGTTGCATTCCAGAAAGGCAACGGTTTTCTACCTGTGTGCACTTCAGCATCATCAGACTCGCATCACTGGAAAGAGCGGCAAGCGCTTGCGGTGTGAATTTCCAGGCAGACCATGGTTTGCAAAACTTGTGGCCAAGCACTCTTTGCAGGAGTGGTTGCGGAAGGGCAGAGACAGCAGACATGCAACACCGAAGTTTATGGTACTGGGGCTCATGAGGTGTGTGGCAGGCATTGCTGCAGATGATTTCATATCGCCGTACGCAGCACGTGATGAGCTTGACATGTGGAGGCACTTTTGGACCGGCATGGGCAATTGGTTCACAATACTGGTTGAAGAGTGTTTCATCTTCGCATCCCCACAAGCTGTGCACACCTATATTGAGACTCGTGGTTCCGCTGCGGATCAATCACGACCGCTTGTAGGTAAAACCTACCCATTGTCCCCATTCTTGATGCAAGCTTCTCAGGCACAGCAGGTCTTGACTTTGCAGGGGGACTTGTGGCAATTTGGGAGGGGGCATTTGCGCACTTGCACAGCAGAGGAGGCATGCAATCATTGGGGATTGGTTTTGACTGCCACCACACTGGCGGTACCCGTTGTCGAACCAATTTCCAGCTTGATTGCCCAAGGGGCATGGCAGTCAATAGGTTCGCTTGGGCACTGGGGTTTGTCACATGAGCTCTTCGAGGATAACTCTTTCCCGCCGGACACACTGAAAGAGTTGCGCTTTCAGGAAAACGACATTCACTGGTCTGCAGCCTTGTCTCCCGGTAAATTGTCAAGCTTGGAACAGCGTGTGCGTTCATGGGCCTCGTTAGTTCTGCAGGGCATTCAAGATGAGGATGAAAAAGCCACGGCAAGATTGGAGCTTGCAGACACCCTGCAATGGGCCCAGTCACTGCAAGCTAGTTTGCAATCGCAGGCTAGGCCGCACGAGTATCCAAGTAACATGCTGATTGCCAGCGTGTTTTTGACATTCCTTTTGGGTTCACGGAAGCATGTTGCAGAAGCGGTCCCGCTCGCTTTGAGAGTTGCTCTGCCTGGTCTGGACCTAGAGGAGTTAGCACGGCATCTTCAGATACCTCGTACAACTACAGTGGCGCGTGCAGCAACCTATCAAGATTTCGCATTTGTCCTGTACATGAGAGAGAAGATGAAGCAGTGCCCGCCGGTGCTGTATGCATGGGCAGATTCTTCGCCGCAGAGCGGGCGGGAATGGTTCATGAGCATGCGTGCTGAGTGTTCTCGGGATTCATTGCTTCAGACATTTCGTGCTGTAAACACCTTGATCAGGGGTCGTTCAGATTTGCAGGACCATGCTGAGGCTGAGGAAGTAGATCTTGACGAACTTGTGCATTGCAATGAACTCGTGCAGCGAAGCCTTGCCCACCATAAGCAGCTCCCCGTAGCAATGGGGTCTGGGCGAACAAGGCTGGAGGACAAGACAGCTTGTCTGTTGCACACCTTGGGTTTGGAGTCTGAAAGCCGTTCCGCATTG